CTCCTTTTTTTAAAAAAACATTTTTCCCCCAAATGAAAAACAAAACCAAGGAAAAACTAATATGGAAGCTTTTTCTCTCAGAGTGGAAGTAATTAGAGGCAATGCTGTTAAGGCTTCTTTACCTCCTGATCTTATCTAAATTGACTGAAGAGTATTTGTGAGCATTTTGCACCAGCCTTAACTAAATTTTGGTTAAAACCAATTTGAACACAAGAACAGGTGGTGGGGTTACTTGTAACTAGCTGCTGTCCTTTTTAAAGAAGCTGTTTGAAGGTTCCAAAAAATTGTCACTGTACACAGGGCCACAAATGCCCAAAGAGGGTTATCCTGTTCTGTAGTAAACAATTTTAAGGTGGGGAGAGAACTTGAGATTTTTCATAAAACTAGCTGGACTCTACACCTGAACAGGAAGGCAGAAGGAAGTGAGGTTGATAATGAAAGCAACACACCAGGGTTATAGTTAAAGTAGCTTCCACTTGTTTTCATTATATTTGAATGGTGCTTGGACTGGCTGAAATACAAAAACTACTAACTTCACTACAAGAGCCTTACCTACATTAGAAGGGTTGTTCCAGCATAGTGAAGACAGTAAATCTCTATAGAGGTGGTTATACTGATTAGCTTAATCCTGTACAGGAATGGGAATATGTTGTACCAGTATAACTGTCTCCCCACTAGGGTTTGTACTGGTAGATTGATTTAAAAAAAAAAAACTCACCAAAAGTTACACCAGTACAACTTTTGAGTATAGAATTAGACCTGCGTAAGTGGTTTTGGGACAGGAATCATCTCACTGTACTACAATGCAAAGACCCACCTCATTCAGTTGTAGCTAGGTAAATGGAAAGGAGCATAAACACTACCAAATTAAGTGTAAAAATGTAATAAATGCCAGAAAGGAGTTTGAACAGCTAGTCAAAAACTCAAAAGGTAATAAAATATTAAGTACATCAGAAGTAGGAAGCCTGCTAAATAACCAGTGGGGCCCCTGGGCAATCGAGATACAAAAGGAGCACTTAAACATGATAAAGTCATTGTGGAGAAACTGAATTCTTTGCTTCAGGCTTCACAGCTGAGGATGTTAGGGAGATTCCCAAACCTGAGCCATCCTTTGTAGGTGACAAATCTGAGGAATTGTCACAGATTGAAGTGTCATTAGAGGAGGTTTTGGAATTAATTGATAAACTTAACAGTAATAAGTCACTGGGACCAGGTGGCATTTACCCAAGAGTTCTGAAAGAACTCAAATGTGAAATTGCAGAACTATTAACTATGGTTTGTAACCTGTCCTTTAAATCAGCTTCTGTACCCAATGACTGGAAGATACCTAATGTAACACTGATATTTAAAAAGGGCTCTAGAGGTGATCCCGGCAATTACAGACCGGTAAGTCTAATGTCAGTACTGAGCAAATTAGTTGAAACAATAGTAAAGAATAAAATTGTCAGACACAGGAACATAATTTGTTGGGCAAAAGTCAACATGGTTTCTGTAAAGGGAAATCATATCTTACTAATCTATTAGAGTTCTTTGAAGGGGTCAACAAACATGTGGACAAAGGGGATCTAGTGTACTTATATTTCCAGAAAGCCTTTGACAAGGTCCCTCACCAAAGGCTCTTATGTAAATTAAGTTGTCATGGGATGAGAGGGAAGATCCTTTCATGGATTGAGAACTGGTTAAAAGACAGGGAACAAAAGGTAGGAATAAATGGTAAATTTTCAAAATGGAGAGGGGTAACTAGTTGTGTTCCCTAAGGGACAGTCCTAGGACCAATCATATTCAACTTATTCATAAATGATCTGGAGAAAGGGGTAAACAGTGAGGTGGCAAAGTTTGCAGATGATACTAAACTGCTCAAGATAGTTAAGACCAATGCAGACAGTGACGAACTTCAAAAAGATCTCACAAAACTAAGTGATTGGGCAACAAAATGGCAAATGAAATTTAATGTGGATAAATGTAAAGTAATGCACATTGAAAAAAATAACCAACTATACATACAATATAATGGGGGCTAATTTAGTTACAACTAATCAGGAACAAGATCTTGGAGTCATCATGGATAGTTCTCTAAAGACGTCCACGCAGTGTGCAGCGGAGTCAAAAAAGCAAACAGGATGTTAGGAATCATTCAAAAAGGGATAGAGAATAAGGGCTGGTCCACACTAAGCCCCCAGTTCGAACTAAGATACGCAACTTCAGCTACGTGGATAACGTAGCTGAAGTCAAAGTATCTTAGTTCGAACATAAAGGTACTTACCACGGATCCACATGCGGCAGGCAGGCTCCCCCGTCAACTCCGCCTACTCCTCTCGCGGAGCAGGATTACTGGCGTCGACGGCGAGCACTTCCAGGATCGATTTATCGCGTCTAGACAAGACGCAATAAATCGATCCCAGAAGATCGATTGCTTGCCACCGAACCAGTGGGTAAGTATAGACGTACCCTAAGACGGAGAATATCTTATTGCCCTTATATAAATGCTTTGCTGAACCAGGTTTTGGAAGAGATGGTTGCAGTTCAGATAAAGGTTTTAACCGGTCATGGAAGAAAACAAAAGATAATATTTCAACCAGTAGAGTTATGTGAAATCTGGTATTGAATTTTATTACAAATTTGAAACTTAGCTCAGGTTCAAAATCTGAATCAAGTATTATTGCACCTCTTCAGAGCTTCTGAGAATGAATTTAGGGTTTCATATAAAAACCCCTTCCCACCCTCCTCCAAAACAAGCTATTTTCAGTCCAGCTTCACTTTCACTTTTGAGTGTTCATTTGACAGCAAAACACGAAGTAAAAGACTAGGAGGGCAAGGATCAGTCGATGAAAACTAAAAACAAAACAAAACCAAAAAAACCAAAAGAGGGTTGCCAAACCCTTATAAGAATTTAGGAGATTTATGTCATTGTAAAGAGGAAATTGTGGTTAATGAAAAGAGATCACTCTTTTCACTAAATTGTGTTTTCCTCCTCTCTCTCTCACACACACACAAAAAAAAACACACTAAGGAGACAAAAGTGGATGCTGATTAAGAACATAAGAACGGCCATACTGGGCCAGACCAAAGGTCCATCAAGCCCAGTATCCTGTCCTCTGACAGTGGCCAATGGCGGGTGCCCCCAAAGGGAATGAACAGACAGGTAATCATCAAGTGATCCAGGCCCTGTCACCCAATCCCAGCTTTTGGCAAACAGAGTTCTAGGGACACCATTTCTGCCCATCCTGGCTAATAGCCATTGATGGACCTATCTTCCATGAATCTATCTAGCTCCCTTTTGAACCCCTTTATAGTACTGGCCTTCACAACATCCTCTGGCAAGGAGTTCCAGAGGTTGACAGTGTGTTGCGTGAAAAAATACTTTCTTGTGTTTGTTTTAAACCTGCCACCTATTAATTTCATTTGGTGGCCCCTTGTTCTTGTATTATGAGGACGAAATAACACTTCCTTATTTACTTTCTCTATACCACTCATGATTTTATAGACCTCTATCATATTCCCCCTTAGTCGCCTCTTTTCCAAGCTGAAAAGTCCCTGTCTTATTAATCTCTCCTCATACGGAAGCCATTCTAATAATTTTTGTTGTCATTTTTTGAACCTTTTCCAATTCCAATATATCTTTTTTGAGATGGGGTGACCACATCTGCACGCAGTATTCAAGATGTGGGCGTACCATGGATTTATATAAAGGCAATATGATATTTTCTGTCTCATTATCTATCCCTTTCTTAATGATTCCCAACATTGTTAGCTTTTTTGACTGCTGCTGCACACTGAGTGGATGTTTTCAGAGAACTATCCAAAATGACTCCAAGATCTCTTTCTTGAATGGTAACAGCTAATTTAGACCCCATCATTGTATGTATAGTTAGGATTATG